ATGAATTAAAGGGCGAAAGAAGGAAAAAATGAAAAGTCATCTTACAAAGATGAAAGAAAGAAAGATAAAATCATAATAACGATGCCAAAAATGAAAAGCGAAAGGAAGGATATTAATAATGAAAAAATGAAAAAAGGAAAAGAATGCAAAATATATAAAGAAAGAGGTAAAAAGAAAGGAGATTAAAAAGAAAATAAATTTTAAAAACAAGGAAGAGAAAAAGAAAGAAAAAGCATCACTGGACGTAATTTGAAGAGATGAAGGGAAGAAAAAATAAAACAGAAAAGAATGATTTAAATAGAGAAGCGAAAAATGTGACGTACAACAAACGAAAAAAAGGAAAAAAGAAAAGGTCCGAAAAAATTTAAAGAAACAAAGAATTTAAAAGCACGCTAAAAAAAAGAATATAACGGAAGAAGGAATGAAAGGAAATGCATGAAGGAAATAAAAAAAAAGAAAAAGAAAATGAATGACTAGAATAAAATAGAAGGGAATAAAATGAAAAATGAACGAAAGAAATGAAAATGGAAAGAAGAAGTAAAGCGAAATGATGGATTGGAAGTGAAAACGAAAAGAAAGAAAAAAAATAAAAGAAAAAATCGTAAAGAAAAAAGAAAGGGAAAAACAAGTAACAATGAAATGAAAAAGAAGGATCGAAACAAGAAAGAAATAAGGAAAATGAATAGAAAATAAAGAAGGAAATGGAGGAACGAAAAAGAAATAAAAAGAACAAAGAAGTAGGAAATAATTCAAAAAACGAAAGTAAAAAAAAAAAAGAAGGTGATACGGAAAAGAAAAGGCAAAATTGAAGAAGGAAATAATCAAAACAATTAAGAAGCAAGGAAAAAAAAAAACATACGATAAGAAAGAAGGAAAATATTAAAGATTTACGAAGGAAATAGACAAAGAAAGATTTACATCGGAAGAAAAAGGGAAATAAAGATTTTATTGAAAATAAATAGGAAAGAAAAAGGAAAAGAAAAATATTCGAATGAAAAACAGAAGGAAAGAAATAAAGAAATAAAGAAGGAAATAAATGAAAAGGAAGAAGAAATAAATAAATAAAGAACGGATAAAAGGGTGAATGAAAAAAAAGTTGCTTTATCAAAAAAAAAAAATTCTGTATCAAATTTCCGCAGAAAAATCCACACGATTCTCATACACACACATACACCCACACAGTCACATATATAATGAATGTATCATTGAATAAAAAACATCAAATATCGAAATAGAATTTTGATAGAATGATAAGCAACCAGGTTTAACGTAGGAAACAGGAAGCATTTAGCAAAATCAGGAACAAAAGGCAGAAAGAGATCGTACCGATATTGAACAGGTATTCCCCAAAAACCTCATTTAGCAAAAAATAGACGCTGTTAAATGAACAATCTTAAATTTCAATCTATTTGAAAGTTAAAGTATATCAAAAATCAGATTATGAATCAGTTTATAATTCCAGATATATATGAAAAAATTCTTCTGAGAATACATACAAAATACACACACAGACAAACACACACACACACACACACACACATATATATATATATATATATATATATATATATATATATATATATATATTTTATATATATACAAGGAATTAAGACCGAATATGGATTGGAATACGGCAGAATATATATATATATATATATATATATATATATATATATATATATATATATATATATATATATCATCTCTGGTATCACGCTTCTAGTTCGTCAATTTTTTTTTCTGGCTTCTTTACTTGTCAGTTATCTTTGATTATCAAAAATTTAACTGCAACGAGAATCGTTATCTTCTATCTTCTTAATTTTATTGTTTTATTGCTCTCTTTTTAATAGAGTTTTTAATGTGTAATATATATTACGTTTGATATATATTATGAAAAGTATATAAATTATATTATATATATATATATATATATATATATATATATATATATATATATATATATATATATATATATATATATATATATATATATGTATGTATAATATATAAACGTATATACGCATAATATAGATGTTTTTATATATAATATAAATGTAAGTTTATATATATATATATATATATATATATATATATATATATATATAATAATAATAATAATAATAATAATAATAACCCACACCGACAGCACGACTTGAAGATATGAAAACATGCAATATTCAGTTGCAAACTTACCAAACGTTTACCTGTTATATTTTTACCATACACTTATCTATCTATCATCTATCTATCTATCTATCTATCTATCTATCTATCTATACATACATACATACATACGTTAGTAGCTATACAAGTGTTCGCCTTGAAAAGAGTGCAGGCATATGCATGCATCTATGCAAATGGGTGTTTGAGTAAATATCAATTTATACGATTTTGTATATGTAATAATCTATATACGCCAACGTTTCTCTGACCATGCACTCATACGCCTGAACGTTTAAAGGTATCTATACAATATATATAAATATATATATATACATACACATATTTGTGTGCCTGTGTATACCTGTTACTCCATATATATATATATATATATATATATATAAAGAAAAACAGACCACTTTAATGTTCCATTGTTATAATTTATTTCACCAGAGATTTTCTTTTTCTCTGGATCATCAGACCTCACTTCCAAGGATGAAAAAATGAATTCAAACTCCACTTTTGAAGGGCAGTATTAAGTTTATGTAAGGTGGTATAGAGAGTGGTGAGAGATAGTGTGGCAGTCATGGTCGAAATTAAAGAGGGAAGTGAGAGATAGGGATGCTTTTAAATTTATCTTTATTTTTATGACAATAGTTAATATTGAGGAGGGGGGTAAGGATCAGACATTGACCTATTTAATAGGTCAGCTCACCGGAAACGATATAAAGAGAAAAAGAAAAAAAAGAGTAAAAAAAAGGGGAGAAGACGTAAGAAATAAGAGATAGACTTAGGGTTTTGAAGGAAAGAGAGAGGGATATAAATTTGAGTGGGAATTTAACGTATGTAGGCATATATCTGCCAATCTGGAAAAACAGATTTATATATTTTTTTTTCGTTTGATAGTAATTTATGTGTTTAAATTCTCCATAAATGAACTAAGAATTTAATATAAATTGAATATTATATGAATAAACAAAATATAAAAAATGAAAGGTTACTAATAATAATTGTGAATAACGGTTAAGGAGTAATATTTCTTATTACTTTTATTTTTAAACTCTAAGTTTCTAATCTAATTTGAACTATTTCAAGATGCAGTAAGATTTGAAAGAGGTGAGTTTCTCTCTATTAAGTTTTAATCTCCCGCCTTCTCTCGTCTGTTACCCCTCTCTTTAGCTCTAACATTCGTCACAAACTCTCATAGTTATACTCTCTCTAAATTCTATTTTTTATTTCCGGAGTTGTTTTTTCTGTTTTCTTTTTGAATTTGTAGGTCTGATGAATTGGATCGTATTTACGATTCCAATGGAATAAATTATGACCATGGAATATTAGTGTTTAAGCCTTTTTATTATATCCTTACTCTGTCCTGGACACTGAGTTCTTCAAAAAATATATATGTATGTGTATGCATCTATCTATCTATCTATCTATCTATCTATCTATCTATCTATATATATATATGCATGCATATATACCTCATACATAAATTCATACACACGACATACATATTTATGTAAATATATATACTCATAAACCGTATACATATACAAATACATATACAACCACATAAACATGTATCGATACACATACTTATACATAAGTAACTTTACATATGCACACACACACACACATATATATATATACATATACATATACATAGTTACATACGCATCCATAAATATACATATTTAAATTTTCTTTTAAATTTTATATTTAACGTTAGATAGTGATTTAGGTGTTTAAATTCTAAAAAGAATTACTAATTTTAATATTTTTAACATTGTGAATAATGGTTAAGGAGTTATATTTCTTAAATAAATCGAAGTAATCAATTTATTTTGAAACTATTTCTAGATAAGTAATATTTCTAATTCTTCAAATCTAATTAGATACTATTTCAATATGAAGTAAGATTAGAAGGTAATAAACAAATTATTGTCTTTACATTACATTCTCTCTCTCTCTTTCTCTCTCTCTCTTTATATATATATATATATATATATATATATATATATATATATATTTATACACACACACACACACACACATATATATATATATATATATATATATATATTTTACACAAACATACACGCATATATACATATATATGCCTACCACTAAATTGTATACCTATATTCATACCCATCACATACATATTTCCGTAAATATGTATATAGACGTATAAATATACAAATACATATACAACCGCATACACATGTATCGATACACATACATAACCATATACATACACACATATAAATATACATATACATACATATTTAAACACGTATCCACATATATACATACATACACAAATACAGATGTATGCACATGAACGCAGATATCCACATATACAAATATACACATGCATGCACATATACACACGTTTATACATACATATATACACCCGCACACATACCCATATACACACATACGCGCTCGCGCTTGCATACAAGCATCCTCACATCTAAATACACGCCAATAATTACCTCCGGATATAAACACATACATATACATATACCAACATATGTATATGATTGTAATTATCATATGGATACCTATAAATGCTTGCCTAAATGCAAGGATATATATCAATGCACATATGCCCATATACAACTGCATATATATTATAACTGATAGTGTTTGTATAGAGAGTCATCGGGTATTATTTCAAATATTGATAATTTAGACAATCAGAATGGACTGGGTTTTCATTTTTTAAATGTAGTGAGCTATATTGAGATGATTTCTGTGTCTGCATTTAAAAATCATCTCACTGTGTTGGTTGAGTAACTCTTCAGGTAGATTATGCTTGATTATCAGGATTTTCTCTTTAATACATAGGTCAAATCTGTCTCTGAATTCTCCATTTCACTTGTGGGGTGAAGCTGTTCCCCCTCCCCATATATATATATATATATATATATATATATATATATATATATATATATATAGCTGTAAGGGTATACCTGTAACTTTCCATATGCCCCATATATATATATACAGTGTGATGGGAGAATATTCGTCCACATAATTCTTTTTTAATTTATTACATTTCCAACTAATGAATAAGCATTATTTTCATATAATTAACTAATGTATCAATTTATTTAAGTTTTCTATGCAAAATAATTTATTATGCATCTTTCTACAATCAATTATATGAAAAATATGTTCATAAATTAGTTGGAAATACAATAAATTTTAAAGTTGTATGTGTACGAAAATTTGTTTCCTCCACTTTTTGTTTTTGTCTCTCTCTCTTTCTCTGTATATATATATATATATATATATATATATATATATATATATATATATATATATATATATAAGCATGTTCACTGTTTTCGCGGGAAGACAGCATAGCGTAAATGAAAAATGCCACAAACTTAACTAAAATAAAGTTTTATCGTCATAATGCTTATGTTATTATTAAGTTGAAAGACCAATGTATTTTTTAATTATTTTTTGAAATTTTTTAATCCTTTCTAACACGTTTGAAATTTTGGTTAAATTCTTCTTTTGTTTACGTCATCGCGGCGTCACAGAAAATAATATTTTTTTTGTGATTTTTTTTCCTTTGAAAACATATTGATTTGGAAATTCTTGTAAAAATCATACCTGTCCGATTTTAATGAAATTGTCAGGACTTATTCACAAATGAATGAAATTATTTTTGAAATATTCTTTTTTATAAAATATTGGTAAAAAATATATTTTTTTAAAATATGTTACCCCACATTTACTTAATTTAATGAAATTTCGCCCAAAACCTTTTTTGGTTCCTGAATTTTTTTGTTAAAAGTAGGAGTCTTCGAAGATGGTAAATAACCTACTTTTTTTTTCAAATTTGAGCTATCTAACTGAAAATCTGCTCTGAACTGAAAAAAATGAATCAATAAAACTATGATATTACTTAATTAGAAAAGCTTTTAATTGCTTTTGTAAATAAGTAATATTAAAGACATTATTGTCTGAAGAAATATTTTTTTTCTGATGAATAATCAATTTTACAAGAATTTTTTTTTTTTTAAGAAATTTTAATTATAATAATTTATAATAGTTTAAAATCGTTTAAAACTCAGTATTAGGAGGGTTCCTCGAGGTGATGTAGTAAA